CTGATTGAGAGTCTTCGCTATCTGTTGTGTGTAGTCAGCGACTCAGTGGAAGTGAGTTTAACCTTTCGATGCATGTTCGTGTGGACAGCTCGTTCGGCGACGGACCAAGCTGCGACAGTGTCATGGTCGGCTGAAGGCGGCTCGTCCAAGCTTCTGTCGTGCCTTGAATAGCCTTCGTCGGGCAGAAAAGACGCACAGCTGAAAAGGATGCTCACCCACCCCAAAGGCCCGAAACATCGGATGGTGCAGGATAGATTTCTTCTTCAACGGCTGACGTCCCTGGAAGGCTGTCATATGATAGAGGCTGTGGGGGCAGGACGTGCGGAAGCAGGACACCTAACTTTGGTGTCATGGCTGTTGTGTGACACGACAGATCGCCGTCGTTGGCGTTGAATGGGTTTACTGGCATTTCGTCGCTGGTATTGATGAAATTTTCGTTCAAGTACTCATGGTTGCCAAATACATGATCCGCGAAGCTCGTGGTTTGAGCCAACGGCGGCTGTGTCCAGTCCAGAGAGGTTTCATGGTAGTAGCTTGCCGGGTCCTCGGTTGCGTTGTGCGACGCATCGTTTATGAGATGATGTGCGGCGCGACTGGACGAATATGACATGTCGTCGCCAAACTGAGCGCGATAATCATGACTGCGAGCCCCGTTGGTGGAGGGGTCGGGAGTCTGTTCCATCTGGCGACTGGGAAGCGGTACCCCGCGGGTACACATACTGGCGTCCCGTCCTGCTTGGCACGATTGTTCTCGAGCTGCTGTTGGCTGGAATACGAGGGTGAATTTGCCAAAGGTTCCTCGGCGGCGTGGTATGTCCTAGTTGTCAGCAACCCGTGCCAATGTAGGTGGCGGGCATGCGAAACAAGCAGGGGGAACGTATCGCTGGGAGAGGGCCGTTGCAGCCGAGTTGCTTTCCCTAGAGATGGCTTCCGGCTGGAGGTTGTCGTTGAAGTTGAGTGAGTAAAGTATCTGGGGATAGCGCTGTCGCCAGGACACGTACGATCTACTCAGCTGATAGGTCATCTCTCGATCGTACATGTAATTCGGTAGCGCAGTTAGTGCGCCCGGCTATGGGACGTAAAGTACATTAACAGCTCATCTCTCGCCTTCTATCTGTAAGTAGAATCCCCCCCGAGGTGCTGGGGGTACCCTAGCCGGGACCCCGCGCCAAATGCTGCCTAGTGCAGCCCGCCCCCAGGATAAATACTGGTACTGTATGTATAAATAGCATAAATTCTTACATAAACCTGCGGTACTTCTCAGAGTAGCTCAGTTGGGTTTCATTTGATGTTGATGTGCTGTTGTTGTGGCCTCTCACCACCACTCGTTCACGGCCATACTGCATATCTTGGTACAGCGACTCGACGAATAGGCCGCTTGGCGACTGATGACCGATGGCTGCTGGTTTGGCTTACGCTTCCACCCCCATGTCTTCTTTGACGGCCTTGCTCCTCGAGGCTGGCGAGCGTCGGTCGCGAGCGTCTGTCGAGAGCCTGCTTTACAATTCCTCGACTCTAGCCGTCGGCATCGATCCAACGTGCCAGAACGACAGAGAGACCTGACGACGGCTCAATTCCGGAGAGAGGATGCCTTGAAGTACTTGGCTGGATGCCGCCACGCAACAAGCAGTCTCAAGGCGAGCATGCAGACATTGGGCCATCACGTGCTGCGCAATCGCTCGACAAACACGCCTTATGATTATTTCGGTAAGGAATATTGAAACAACTTTTCTGGGGCTCCATTGAATGGCCCCACCACCATTGGTATGAAATCACATATCGTCGGCAATCAATCGATTTTCAGCTCTCTGTCTTCCAGTAAACCAAAGGCCGAAGACGTCCAGAGACCCGAAACGCTGGCCTTCCCAGAAATGCACTACCAATCCAAAGAAATCGACCCTGCTGCCAATGACACATGCGAGTGACTGTTTCGACTTCAGTCCTAGAAACACTGGACCTCGTCTGACCGAGACTTGCTCTGGGTTAAGGGAAACTCCGGCGCGTGGAAGTCGATGGTGCTGCGGCATGTCCTGACAGACATCGTCCCAACCATGTGTATCCGCGAGGGTGCTGTGGGCCTTCCCTTCTTTTTCTACGCTGCGGAGGGCCAGATTTTAGACGTATTCTTACCACATACCTAACAATGCATTGCGGCTATAATCTACAGAAGACCTCTTCACTCTACTCATTACCTTCTATGCATACAGTATGCACACACTATGTCGTAAGTACCGCTCTAGCATCTCCCCTTATCGCATCGTAGCTGCTTTAATCATTAAACACATTCTTCAAATTCGCCTACCCTAGCAAGAGTAGTCACTTACGCAGTGCCACGTATTGCCTATGGCATTCCCAGAAAGCCGTTTTTCATTTGAGCTACCTATACATATTTGAATGAGAATCACCCTTCGTCTTGCGGTTATACAGTCAGGAGAATGGGATACAGCATACCACGTTTGGATCTCGATGTAGCTTGTTTTATTCGTGTTTTAAGTTGCAACTCCGACTGCACCTTTCGACACAGAATGTTCTTGAAAAGATGATCTGTTGAGCCCTCTAACTCTGCGTTGCCATCTCCAGAAGATGAAGTCTGGTCATCGTGCTGGAGCTCGGTAACAGCATCGTCCGATCTCGACTCGTGAAAGAAACGTCCACAGTCAGAACTGTGGTTTCTTAGTTGCCTTGCTTGATCGATGCGAATCTTATTCATGCCATTGCCGATCTCCGCCCTTCATGGCGATAATACTTTTGGAGCGACAATCTGCCACCGGGCAATAATTGTTGCTGTAGGATTCAGTACCAGGCTCGATCAACATAATGACGCACATTCCTGGAATGAGTTGGGCTCCGGGCGTGTCATGGAATACATGACTTGTGTTTCCCGAATCCAGTAACGCAAATTGCCCACTTGCAACATGTCCAGAGCCGGGGCCCTCTTTGAAGCGGCTGTAGACTACCGCGAAGAGATTGCTGACGCTTAGTTCCGAGCCCAAGGGGAAGAACCTTCCGAAAGCGTCTTCAACCTTGACCGGCTCCTGAAGGTTAGAGAGTTTCGATCTGAACCATACGTTGTTGCGCCTTGCGACCATCAGAGCAGCATGTGTCTCTGTCATTAGATGCCTTCCGGAGTTAGTTGGCACTCGCCACCTGGTCCGCGCTTCAGAGCTGACTTACAAAGTATGTTGCGTGGCCTCTGCGTTGTGGGACGCCTGTAATGCCCAATTCTGCGCCCTTTGCCTGAATGCCTCCTCCTTGGCGTAATAATCGTCTCTTTTTTTTTTTTTTT